GGGGAAGATGACGAAGGAGAAGATTGTTGCGCCGGTTAATTTATAGGTTTATACAGTATAAGGTCCGCTGGGGCAGGCCATTTTTACATTTATTAAAAAATGTCCAGAAGTATTTGTAGCTGTATATATGTTGTGTCATAAGCAGCTGTATTATGGCACAACATATGACATTATTTGGCCAAATAATGTTTTATTAATCCCTTGGATTTGCATTGTGATTTGGGTGCAAAACATTCCAATTGCTCCAAATGAGTGAAAAGCTAATTTGATCTCATCCCGCATTCTCCAAGATAAATGTTGGTTTTCAAACACAAACTTCATCTTAAACTGTAATATGGTTTTAAACCATGTTTCCCCTTCCTCTTTGTACATAGTATTTTTATTTTAGTTTCACTAGTTTTAGTCAAGAGTTTTTAACTGAAATATGTTTGACTTGGAGCTGAATTATTTTTGTTAATAATCTCTTATATTTTGAACACTTGTTGTGGTGAACTAATTCCATTTGTGTGCAGAATTATCTGTTTGACCTTGATTTGAGCTCGATTCTTTCATTTATTGTTCTAACACACAGCTAGTTTAGTGTGTGTTAATAAACAATATATGACAGTCCAAATAATATCTGATTGAAAAAGATATTTGCCACCCCTACCAGGGAGGGCAATAAACATCTTAAAGCATTAGAACATAATATTGTATACCCGCTTGCTAGGCTAGGAATATAACAGTTATTCTCAACACATACAAATAAAATATCATATATTGTGATTTCTGGATTTTTGTTTTTAGATTGTTTCTCACAGTGGACATGCACCTATGGTGACAATTTCAGACCGCCCCAAGATTACTAAGAGGGAGAGCTTGCAAAATAGTGTGTTCAAATACGTATTTTCCTCACTATATTCCATTAAATTTCCGATAAGTTCATATTTATAGTGCCAACTCACAACTCATGTCAACTCAAAGAACTTTACAGAGACAATTCAACCATATCATACAGTCAGATTGGTTCAAAGTAATCTAAGGAAAACAAGCTGATTACATCTACTCATTGACTCCTCAGTATTCCCTCATACCAACCATGGTTGTAGCGACAGTGGAGAGGAATACTCCCGTTAAACAGGAAGAAACCTCCAACCAGAACCAGGCTCAGTGTGAGTAGCCATCTGCTGAGGGTTCAAGGAGACAGAAGGAACAGGAACAGACATATGAAGCTACTATAATGAGAAAAAGCAGAGTGGAGGTAAGAGCAGAAATATGATTTGTTTTTACTCTTCATAAGAACTCTGGCTGCAGCATTTTGGCTCAGCTGAAGGCTTTTAACTACAGTTTATGGACTTCCTGCATGGAACGAGCATCAACCTTCTAATTTAAATATATATACACTGCAGATAAAAGAAAGATATTCTCAGACATCCGAAGTTCCAAAAACTCATTTCAGGGAGATGCTTATCCCCCCCCCCTCGCCACTTCGTCATCATTCCTCACCATGGGCAGTTCTAGACAGGGGCCTGTATTAAAGACAAAATACTTAACAGAAATTCTAATAAGGATATGTGCTGGAACAGACATGGTTACTGATAGGTCCTTTGGAACTACTTCATTCTTTTTCTTTACAAATTCTCTTTTACTAATTATTTAAAAACAATAAGGCGACAGCTTCAGTGGGATTGAGATAGGATCCCAGTTTTCATCTGATGAATGCTTTTTTTTTCCCCACAACAAATATAAATATAAAAAATATAACCGCTTATGTCTGGGGGGACAGTGATTCACCTACATGTTATGAATGCTGGTGTACCATGAAGAATAAATTAAGAACAGTTTAGTTTGTGCGTAACTTATCAAGAACTTACCTCCAACGCATATCAGCATATTTGGCGTGTTCCAGGCAACCATTGTACATGTTTCTAACTAAAAAATACCGTTTAGGCAGCATTTTGGTAAGAAAGGGGGTTCACAAGAGGAAACTATCAGTTCTCCCCCAGTCTGCATCCTCATCATAGGGTGAGCGAGACCAATGAATAAGAAAAAACAGAATAACATTAATCAAACTGTAACTAAAAACTTAAAACTTAAACAGAAGTCCACAAAGGGCATAATCATGACAGTTTTACCCGTTTTAGAGCTGATTTGATTAAAATCATAAACACATCCCTCTTTCCCCCCAAGCCCTAAAAAACAGCAATTATCAAACCTGTACTCGTCGTCTCCCGCTTTATCCGGAACCAGGTCGTGGGGGCAGCAGACTAAGCAGAGACTCCCAGACTTCCCTCTCCGCTGACACCTCCTCCAGCTCTGTTGGGGGAAGCCCTAGGCGCTCCCAGGCCAGCCGAGAGACATAGTCTCTCCAGCGTGTCCTGGGTCATCCCCTGGGCCTCCTCCCGGTGGGACGTGCCTGGAACATCTCCCGAGGGAGGCGTCAAGGGGGCATCCGAAGAAGATGTCCGCCAGTTTAAGCACCCGCGGATGAGGTCGCCGAGGTCTCCGCCTCTGGCTGCCGCCCAATCCACTTTGCACCGGTCCCTCATGGTTCCCCCTGCAGGTGGTGGGCCCACTGGGGGATGGCCTCGCGTCGCTCCTTTGGGCTGGCCCCGGCCGGGTCCCGCGAGGAAGAACCCGACCACCAGGCGCTCGCCAACGAACCCCAACCCCAGGCCTGGCTCCAGGGTGGGGTCCCGGCTCCGCCGTACCGGGCGATGTCACTTGCTTCGTTGTTGTGCTCATCATAAGGGTTTTTGAACCGCTCTTTGTCTGACCTGTCACCCAGAGCCTGTTTGCCTTGGGAGACCCTACCAGGGGCATTTAGCCCCCGACAACATAGCCCCTGGGATCACCCAGGCACTGAAACCCCTCCACCACGTTAAGGTGGCGGTTCAAGCAGGGGCAATTATCAAACCAATGTGGAAAAAGAGAAACTTGGACCAACTGGTCCAACTACCAGAATAATCAGTGAAGGAGATCCTGTTTGTCACACCACCCGGGGAAACAAAGTCTAACTCTTATATTACCAAGAAATTGAGATCCGTGTTCTTCATTCAAGCATTTATTAATCCTTGCAAGGGAGAACATACAACCAATGTTCCTGCCTGTTTACAATCCCAGTCATTAACTAGCGACCTATCCCGAATAGAGAGTAAAATCATTCTCATCATTACAAGGCAAAACACAAACAATATTGTTTTAATAGACCTAATAAAAAAAATCAGGCATCAATGACTTAAATTAACATTTACTCAGCTCATATCTGACAGAAAAGAATTTACAACACTGAATCTGTATGAGTACTCATGTGCTTAGTCAGAATTGATGGTTTGGAGAATTTCTTTCCACAGATCTGGCATGAATGGGGCTTTTTGCCTGTATGACTTCTGATGTGGCTATTCAAATTACTACTGTTTATGAAAGTTTTTTCACACATTTTGCAAGCAAAGGGTCGATCACCCGTGTGAGTTCTCATGTGACTGGTTAAACTACTACGGTCTCTATAACGTTTTTCACACAATTCACAATGATATGGTTTCTCACCTGTGTGAGCTCTCATGTGCGTAGTCAGGACAGCTTTGGTAGAGAAAGCTTTTCCACAAGTGAGACAAGAGAAAGACTTCTCCAGAGTGTGGGTTGTCATGTGAGATCTCAAACTACTACTGTTGATGAAAGATTTATCACAACTTCCGCAGGCAAAAGGCCTCTCTCCTGTATGAGTTCTCACGTGACATCTCAAACTACTGCGGTTTGTGAAACGTTTATCACACATTTTGCAAGCGAAGGGCTTTTCACCGGTGTGAGTTCTCATGTGTTCAGTCAGGGCACGTTTCCTAGTGTAAGTTTTTCCACAGGTCAGACAAGAGAAAGGCTTGACTTTGTGGATTTTCATATGACAACTCAAATAACTATTGTCAATAAAAGTTTTATCACACATTTTGCAGGCAAAGGGCCTTTCCCCCGTGTGAGTTCTTATATGTGTCGTCAGGTTAGGTTTCCTACGGAAAACTTTTCCACAGGTCAGGCAAGAGAAGGGCTTTTCACCTGAGTGAGTTCTCAGGTGTTGAGTCAAGGCAGGTTTCCTAAGGAAAACTTTTCCACAGGTCACACATGAGAAACGTTTGGCATTTGTGTGAGTTCTCATGTGTACAGTCAGGGCACGTTTCCTGATGAAACATTTTCCACAGGTTAGGCATGAGTAAGACTTCTCACCCATGTGACCCGTCATGTGATAAATCAGGTGACTATTAGATATGTAAGATTTACCACAAAACCCACAAGAATAGGGCTTTTCACCTGTGTGAGTTCTCATATGTGCATTCAGGGAAGGCTTCCTGCTAAAAACTTTGCCACAGGTCCCACATGAGAAAGGTTTCTCACCTGTGTGGGTTCTTATGTGAAAATTTAAGGTACTTTGCTTGATGAAAGTCTTTCCACAAGTATTGCATGGGAAAGGCTTTTGACCTGTGTGAATTTTCATGTGACTACTTAAATTACTATTGTTCACAAATGTTTTACCGCACATTTTGCAAACAAAGGGCTTATCACCCGTATGAGTTCTCAAATGACAAGTTAGACTACTACGGTCTCGATAACATTTTTCACACAACTTACAGCGGTATGGTTTCTCACCAGTGTGAGTTCTCATATGTACAGTTAGAGCATTTTTCCACAGGAAATCTTTTCCACAGGTGACACACGAGAAAGGCTTCTCACCTGAGTGAGTTCTAGTGTGACATCTCAGTGAATTAAGGTTGTTGAAGGATTTATCACACATTTTGCAAGCAAATGGCTTCTCACCAGTGTGGATTCTCATGTGTACAGTCAAGGCACGTTTCCTAACAAAACCTTTTCCACAGGTCACACAGGAGACAGACTTCTCACCTGTGTGAGTCATCATGTGTGTAGTCAGGGTAGGTTTTGTAGGGAATCCTTTTCCACAGGTAACACATGAAAAGGGTTTCTCACCAGTGTGAGTTCTCATGTGACAAATCAAATTACTGCTGTTAATGAAAGATTTTTCACACATTTTGCAAGAAAAGGGCTTCTCACCAGTGTGAGTTCTCATGTGAACTGTTAGTGTCGGCCAAGCAGTGAAACATTTGCCGCATACTTCACAAAAGGGTAATTTCTTTTTTTGCATGATCTGCTTTGAGTTGTCCACATTGTTATTTTGTTTTTCCTCTGTCTTCAATTCTTTATTTGGTCTGGAGACCTGCTGATGGATTCCTTGCTGATGTTGGTTCTGAGCTTCGAGGACGGTTGAGCTGATTAGACGATTCATGATTGGTTCCGGTTCACTGGAGTCTTTCTGATCAACAAGACTCATAGTGAAGTAATCAGACTCTTGCTTCACAAAGGGTGGCGCTGCATCCTGAAAGACGAAGAGGTCCTGTTCTGTAATTGGCCAAGGTTCTGGTTCACCTTTAGTTTCAATCATCTGCTTTAACTCCATTTCTCTCTGTTCCATTTTAATTTGTAAAGGTTTTGGCTCCTCCTTTATCTCCATCTTCGACTGTGGTTCGTGTCCATTGTGGAATAACTCCTCATAACAAGAAGTCACTATGGATGCGTCTGTCTCTTGCTTCACTAAAAGCATCTCTTCATTCTGAAAGATGGACATTTCGATCTGCTTTTCATAAATTGATTGAGGTTCTGGTTCCTCTTTTGTTTCAGTCATCTTTGTTGGTATCGGTTTCTCCAGTCCCTCTTTCGACTCTACTTGGTCAGATATATTCTGATCAAGAAGAGTGCTCCCCTCTCTGGTTATGAGAAAGTTATCAGAGTCAACCTCCCATGTAGTAACAGACATGTTGCCGTAGAAGACCTGAAGGAACATAGAGCAGGAGAGCATTTATGGTTAAAAGTATTTATTTACACCTTCTTTATTTACAGAGAAACGGGTAAAAAAAATGTCAATACATTTTACGAAATCTAAAACTTACCTTTTCTGTTACTCATTAGTGTTGCACGATACTTCAGGTATCAGGGATCCTTGGGTAAAACAGAAAGATATATGTCATGTTATGTTTTAGATACTCAAATTTTCAAAAGATAATTTAAACCAAATTTTCAAGATCTTCGAGTCTGGGAAGGGTTACAAAATAATTACCAAGACTTAGAAACTCCAAAGAACCACAGTAAGAACCCGTATCAACATATTAAGGTCATTGTTCCTGAATGATTAATAAGTGTTGGGATATATTGCCACAATGGAGCCCAAATCAATTGGATGAACCATTTCAAACCATTCCCCTTCCCTTTTACACAAAGAGAACAATGCGGCGGTCAGTTCACGCATGGACCAATTGGCTCAAGAGGAAGCTCATACTTCAACAGGAAATACCCCTACGTCAATCAGGGTTTAAAACTCAGAGCGTGAGCTCAATCTTTCTCTTTCCCTGGGTTTCACCGCCTGCAAGGAGAGGCCCGTTTCACGTGAAATGCTAAAGGAAAGCTAACTGGAAGTAGCTTTCGATTTTCCTGCGTCAAAAGTCACTAGACTGGAAGACGTCTCGAAGTAAAACCCATTCACTTCTCTTAGATGCAAATAATGAGGTGCTACGCACGGTAAGAGACAGGCAGTTAGGGATTTGAACTAATGCTGATTTGAATCTGTGTTGGTTATAAGAACTCTTGTTCAATGGATGAAATGAGTGTGCTGTGAAAAGCTGCAAGTGATATTTCTTGTAAAAATCATGCAATTTAGCTTCTGCGGCTTATATTCAGGTGCGGCTAATAGTCCGAAAATTACTGTAGGCGACTTTTTACATGCCCAAGGGGTCCCCAGTGATGCTTTTTCATTAACGAAAGAGCAGATGGTGATTTAAACAAGCGAGCTAATCTCTAAAACAGACATGGCTACGACTTGATGCTAACACTTTTGTTAGCTGTCAGAAAACAGAATTCTGAGATTAAAGTCAAAATTCTGATTTTTTTTCTCATATTACACTGAACTGAATGTCCTATTAAGGACTATAAAATAGCATTGGAAAAACAAATACCAAATATAGTCTTGGCCCACAGATGAAATCCAATAAAAAGGATCCTGTCATATTTCCCCAGTTGCAGCATCATGACACAGCCTCATATCATTCATCTTAACCGTCCAGTAAGAGCACTGATATGCAGCTTCTCTCTGTTCCAGTCAGCCATTTTGGCTAAAAAAAATAAATAAAAAATAAGGCATTTTTTGCCACATCACATTTAACATGAAGTTTTTTCACAAAGAGAATATGAGACAGTCAAATACAGAAGAAGGATAGTCTGAGGTTTAATTATCATTTAATTCACTCAATCCTTAATATTCTAAACATCCTAAAATAAACATAAACATTTCATCATCTGAATGAATTAGAAATGCGTTTACCTTTCACTTAGTAGTTGAATCAAAGGGTAGACAATGTGGTGAGCCAAGAATCAGGCATCTTCTCTGGAAGACGAGGGGAAAACCCCATGGTCTGCTGACGGCTGTTCAGTTGAACTTGCTCTGAAAAACACCAGAGCTCTTTTGAGTTCAAGTAAAATCTTTAGAAACCACAAATTCTCAAGTTAACCAATATGACAGGTTTCCCAGGCAACTATAACAGGAAATATAAGTTCCATAGACACTCGTTGAATGAGAAAGTATAAATAAAGAGAAAGAGAAGCAGAAGTTGGTCAGTTTTCCCTGCTGAAAAGACAAAAGAGCTAAAAAGTAAAAGAAAGAGCAGGAGCCAGGGACAATGCTCAGAAGACTTTGGATCAAGAACTTTGTGACCGATCTGGATGCGAGTCCAGTGCCTGAAATTCACTTTTGAAATTGGGGATTATTAATTAATGACTACAGGTCTTATGTTGTGCTAATCATACCTCAGATTAATGTCGCTTTCATTTTCCACCTTTTTTTCTTTCTAGCTGTTGTTTCAGCTGCTCTCCCTTTCTCAAATAACTTTGGGGTTAAAGGAAGAACATATTTTTTTAGGATAGAAAATCATCTAGGGAAAAATATTGCAAAATGATCTATGCAGCAAAATACATTCTTAACTAAGATCAATGCCTAATATGCAAAATTTTGTTTTGGCCATTTTGTTTTCTGCAACTTTTAATAAGCTCTTTTAGTTCATATTCACGCTGCACTTGTGCATCATGGATAGCTTATATCCATGAGCTGAATATGCCTTACTATTCCTTTTTGCTGCTGTAGTGGAAGAAAACACAGAGTGGCGGCACACAGTTGAGGTTTTACAGCTTAGGCTGGTATAGGGTACGGAAGCGTACATTTTACAGATGGAGCAGCTCATTTTACCGGGGATGTAGCTTAAGGCCAGTTAGGCTGGAACATATCTTTCGGCTGCTTAGTGACATTGACTCTTGTTGAAGGATCGGCGGTACATTGGTCAATACCAACAACACTGGGTTTGATTTATGTTGTTTTTCTAGAAGCTGGTTCCTCTGTTGAGGGGAGATTGATAGACAGATTGGTGTGTCTGCTGCTATATTGCAGACCCTGCATTGGTCTTTTGTGATGAAGAGAGAGCTGAGCAAAAATGCAAAGTTCTTGATTTACCTGTCGGTCTATGTTTCTACCCTCTCTTATGGTCATGAATTCTGGATCATGGCCCAAAGAACCAGATCCTGGATACCAGCAGCTGAAATGAGCTTCCTCTGCTGGGAGGCTGGGCTCTCCCTTAGAGACAGGGTAAGGAGCTCTGTCGTCTGGAGAGGCCCGGAGAAGCGCCACTTGATCAGTTTGTGATGCAGCTCTTCTATCCAACATGCAACTCTGCCATTAAAAAAAGGGCTGGGTGACAAACCGTTTTTTTACCATTACACTCATTCACTATGAAAACCGCCGACAATGTAAAAGAAATAAACTTAATTCTGCCATTTTTCCTATTTAAGAGGGTGGCTGGTATTTCCTACCCCTTTAACGCACTCCAGCATTTGTGTGATCGCATCCAGTCAGAAGCGTAAACAAAGACAATGGAGAACGGAGCCAAGTGAAGAAGCATCTAAAACAGCTGTAAAATAAAAAATATCAATTAATCTGGTGAAGACGAGAGAGAGCAAAGATGAAGCTGAGCGTGCAGAGAAGAAATTGAGAGCACGTTGTCAGAGTTGAGCATGCGGCAGACTGGTTTTGAGGCTCTGAGAGTTTTAATGGTGAACATTGTTCTCACCGCACGCTCAGATCGGTGGCACCAAAATTACGCCATAGATGTTGAGCAGAAAAAGAACACAAAATGCAAAAGTTTGTCTGAAAGCGGACGGGACTACCCAAAGTAACACATCCAACCTACAGCCCTGCCATGCTGTTGAGTTCAAAGATGAGTGAAAGGCTCAATTACCTTTGCTCAAAAATGGTTGCAAGAGGGGTAACATTTTCTCCTGTTCAATGAGACACTGTTGAATGTTTGAACCTCAATGGGTACAAGACTTTAATATTTAATTGAAAGAAATATGTAATGCGAATTATTCAATAAAGGAATTATAAACAGATCAGTTGCACTTCTTGCACATGCCTTCATTTCTGATAGAGGAGCCTGTGAAGTTAAAATTGTGTGTTCAACTTACCGTATACATTTCTTTTTAAGTGAGCAGTGTATTTGTGGCAGGTCACAAGGTTGTAAGATGACCTTGGAGAAACGTAAGAGTTTTTTAACAGGATAAACATCTGTGCAGAAGCTTGGAACGGATGAAATAGGTGTTGTTTAAACAGTAACAAGCAAGAGCAATTAGTGGTAAAACTGTTACTATGAAACACTTCAAGGTCAGTTCTGGGGAAAACATTGTGTTGTGCAAAAGAGTTTCTGTTAATTTTTTGAAACCTCTTTTACATGCGAAAGTGATCTATATGTAGGGGGCATGGGCCGCCCTAGTCAGAGCTCACTGAGAGATAGGGATGGGGATCGAAACCCGGTTCCATCAAGGACCCGGTTCCACTTTTTTCAAAACCCAAAAAACAATAACGTTTGGGCTTATCGATACCACTATCGAGTCTGGTCATTTTTTTTTTTTTCTCCCGGAGGTCCTGTAA